AGGGGGGGAGTTGTGGGGCTGCGGGACGGGGGTCAGTGGGTTGGGTGGGGTTGGGTTGGCGGTTGGACTGGATGATCCTGGAGGTCTTGTCCAACCTTCATGATTCTGGGATTCGATCATTCTATGAAGCAGGAATCAAGGTGGCCCTGGTGCTCCCTAATTTCTCATAGGAATGTACGGGAATCAGCAGCAAAGCAGCTGCCGATGAAAATCTCGGATTTTTTCACACCCTAGAGTCATCCCAAGTCAGGAAAACCAGCTGGGAAAGGCGCGTCGTGGCCAAGAACAAAAGCAAGGAGCAAGAGAAGCCCCTTCCTCCAAACCCACCTGGCTCTTCTTGCTCAGCAACGACCAGCCGTTAGCGTCGAACTCTTTCCTTTTCTTGTCCAGACTTTCCTGTTTTAGGTATTGCCTGTCGGAATCGAGAGAACACAGACAGCTTACTTAGAGGAAGGGGGGAAAGCAGCCAGGACAACTAGATGTCAGTTCACCTGAGATGTCCTCTGCCGTGTTTGCAGAATTAATGCAAAATGGAAGTCCAATATTTTCGTCTCGGTATTGGCCATTTGAAAAAAAAAAAAAAAAAGGGCTCTATAGACTCGGGCTTTGAGGGAGTCCAAAGGAGGACTGAGCAGAAGGGAAAAGCTCATCCAAAAAAAGTACCTGCCAAGCAGAGAGTCAAAACCACAAATAAACCAACGAGAACAGATCTAATTCATCGGGAGAGTGACTCAGGGCAGAGAAAAGCTCTGAAAGAACTGTGAGGACCCAAGGGGAGACTGGAGAGCTGAACGTCTCCGACAGCGTCCTGCGAAGGCTTCTTGTCTTTTGAGGATCTTAGCATAAAGGTGGACAGGAGTCAATTTCTCCACAATTTTAAGTGTCCCAGCAGCTCTGGAACGATTGTCCCGTGTGTAGAGAGTCCAAGAAACCCACCGCGAAGCTGCTCTCGGGGCTGGTGGTGGGTTCAGCTCGCTGGGAGATGCTCTCCTGGAGCTCCTCTCCCAGGTTTCCTTTCCACTCCTGATTGAATTCCTTCTGATAGATGGCAAGTGCTTCCAAGGAGAGGAAGACGACCCTCAAGATTTTCTCAAATCAGGCCCAAGGGTTGGGGCTGGAGGAGGCAGCCCTGGGAAAAGCCAGCCGTGGTGGGGGTGGGATGGAAACACCCCTCAGCAGAGGGAGAAAAGCCGCAGAACCTGGCCCACTCCAGCTCCTAGAACCGGAGAACAAGGAAATCTCACGAGTACCGGCCCATCTCCTCTGCCCAAAGAGGTTCCCCACCAGTTTGGTCTCCATCATACCACTGGAAGAACAGAAAAGTGAGTTTTTTTCCTGCCTCCTTGGAAAAAAATTTAGAAACTCTACCAAGACCATGTCCAGGCAACCGCCAGGTGTTTTCCTTTGCGGATACGAACACCTCGAACCATTCCCTTCACTGGGAAATTCGGAAAGAGGAGCTGAGGAAGGACAAAGACGCAAAGATGGACCAGAGGAGACAGGGCGATGGGCCCAAGACGTCCGTTAACGGCCCTAATGAAGTCCCTCTCTGCTGGCTGCCGGCGTCGTTAAGCGATGCAGACACTCTCTGCTCATCCTGGTTAACCAAAAGGACCGGGGAAATCAGCAGAAACCATCTCCTGCGCGTTTGGCATCGTCTCAAAACACCCCGAGGAGCCTTCTCGCTGTTGTGGCTGCGGTCAGTTCGGAGAAGAAAGGTTTGGAAAGGAAAAGCGAAGGATGAGATGCTGCTGGCTCGGACAGAGGGGTCAAGAGAGCATCTGGCGCGGAGACGGAGGCGGGTTTGGCTGCCAGCGCGGGGAGATGTGCCATCCTGGGGAAATCTGATCCACAAAGGCTCGGCCGAATCGCGTCGCGCCGTCAGCAAACGCCCAAACGTGACGGGAGAAGGAGGCGAGGAGACCCGCGGCCAAGGCCGGGAGGTGGAGGGTCCAACCTGCTGCCTTGGAACTTTTCTCTTTTGTCATTTTAAAGAATTATTAAAATAAAACTCTCCTGGGGGGAAGAGTCCCTGAAACACCCCGGGGTCGCTGAACCAAGGACTCGAAGCGGCAGCAGAACCACCCCAGCAGCTTGCGGATGCGGCGACAGCCCCATCCGAGCGATGGTGTCCCTAGAAATCAACCAGAAACGGGTTTTGTTGGATGTCAAGGAGGGAAGTCTCCCTCCTGGCAGCCCCCCCGAGACCACGTCGGGTCCAGACGAGGGTTTTCCATCAGCCTTCGTCAGCGGGACGCGCGCTCCCTGCCAGCGCCGGCTGTAATTGCTCTGGGGAAGCTCTGGCTGCTTGGACTCGGCTGCAGTTTGGACAAGACAAGATCAGCAGGGGGTAAATCTCCGAAGGGAAAAAAAAAATAAAAAAATAAAAAAATCCCTTTCACTGAGCATGAGAGTCTCCATGTCTCATCTCCCAAAATAAAACTTAATGGATGGAGAAGAACCGAGTTCAAACTAAGGGTGAGCCCAGCCTCCAGCTGGAAGAAGGGAGCAGCCCATCTGCATCACAACGCAGACACGGCGAAAACGTTAATTAATTAACGGCCTCGTTTCAAGAGCAATAAAAAAAAAAATCCCGGCAATTACTGCGTGCGAAAAACCCACTTGAATCCTCCGCTGAAAGAAGAGCAGCAGCAGCACGGGGGCCGCTCTGTTCTGCGCGTTAGGGATGCGGAGCGAAGCCGTGCGGAGAAATCAAAGATGCGTCACACGAGGAACCTCTGCGTGGATTTGGACACATGGAGCGGAGGCAGAGAGAGGATCCGAGCGCGAGACTCGTCTGGCAGATGGGGGGGAAAAAATAAATTAAATGGTGCCGGAGTTTCAGTGGATAAAACCCATCAGGTGGCTCCTGCGCATCCAGTTTTCTCCGCAGCCGCCACAAGCCAACG